TGCTGGCTGACGGGATGCTGAGCTCTTCGACGTACGCACGGAAGCCGCTGACGGCCACGCGCACGGTGTTGGCCGCGCCGCCGCCGCTGCCCGTGCTGGCATCCGTGCCGGCGGCTCCGTCTGAGCTCGTGCCGTTGATACTCGTCGTAATCTCGCGCAGCAGCAAGGCGTGCGTGCGGCGATCCAGCAGGTGGAGCTCGGGGCTCGCCAGGACGCTGCGCGCCAGGCGGAAGCTCAGTGATGCCTGGGAGGGTGTCGAGGTCGAGCCGTCCGGGAAAACCAGCGTCGCATTCTGCAGAAACTGGACGCTGTCGTTGGTCAGGTTGCCGCCCGTGGCCACGCGGAAGTTGTCGATGGCGATCTGCAGCTGGGTCCAGGGGATTAGGCCGGTGGAAAAGCCAAAGTTCTTGGCAAAGTTGCGGTACACCGGCGGGTAATTGACCGACATCATGCCGTTCATGGCCATACCCTGGAACCAGCCAAAAACCTCGCCGAAGCTGGGGCTGATCGTGCCCATGCCGCCGGCCACAGACGATCCGCCGGCTGCCGCTGCACTGCTGCCGCTTGCAATAGCGGCGCCGACGGCACCGACACCGCTCAGCACAAGCGCGGCTGCTGCAATACCGGCTGCCGCGTACGACACCGCGGGGACGTCTGTCGTCTTGCCGTTGGACACTTGTGACTGGATGCAGGCAACATCTTGGCCCTTGTTGTCACCATCCATGGCCATCAGCTGCAGCGTGGCCTGGGCGGCGATGTCCGGGATTTGGAAGGCGATGGCCGGTACCTGATTGGCAAACTCGGCGGGGATGGCCTGGGACCCACTCGCGGCAAAGCTTCCTGCGGGCACGGGGCACAGCTGCTCAACGAAGGTGCTCGCGGAGCAGGGGTTGAAGGAGTTGGAATAGACCTGGGCGCCGTAGGCCGTGACGTTGAGAATGGCAGTGACGTTCTGCACCTTGGCGCTGGAGCCGGCGACGTCAAACGTGACGGTCTTGTTGGCGTTGTTGTACTGGATGTCGACCTTCTGGACGGTGACTGTGGTGTCGTTGCCTCCGCAGTTGTTGAAGCCGGTCGTCTGGAGAATGTCGGTGGCAGCGGTGGCGGCTGCGTTGAGGCATACGGAGGCGGCTAGGACTAGCCAGCGCAGGCCAGTCGGCCTGTTTCTTGCCATGTTGGCGCGAATGCACGAAGTATATGGCGAGAAAACCAAATAATGAAGCAAAGTAAAGAGAAGTGCCCGTTTCGTAACAGTCGTATATGTTTTCGTTAGAGCATTGATCGACGAAGTCGAGATTAGATGTGTTGCGAAAATAGGAAATAGGTATAAGTGAGAACGGACGCCAACAGCTTCACAGAGGTATAAAACTGTAGAAAATTGCAGAAGCTGGACGAGAAGTGTCGGGGGCAAAGTAAACAAAGATCGTGTAAAGATAGACAAAGAAAATACAACAAACGTGGGAAAGTGAACAAAATCGAATTGGCCAGCCGAATAAAGAAGAAAATCAAAGAGAATGAAGAAGATCGAGGGACGAAGTGAAGGCAATGGAGGCCGAGGGTCAACCTGGAACGAATGGAAGGAAAGAAAAGAAGGAAAGGACGAGATCACGCTGTGCCGTCCATCGACAATAGCAATTGTTCAATGTCTTTGTTGATTTTGTTGAGATGGACAGAGCGAGGCCGATCGCGAGATGTGGTGCTGCACGCTCCCTAACAACATAACAAGACAAAAGAAAAAGAAAAGAAGAACAGGATCATAGGATGAGAGATAAAAGAAAAGCCGGTGGCTTGGACAAGCGACTCAACGGTCGCGAGGACCCAGGCAAGAAGTGATCCAAGTTTAGAGTTTGGGCCGGCCCAGGTGAGTCGACAGGGGTTGGCCAATACAACCCTTGGGATGTCGAAACTCTTGCCAGGGTGAAGACGGGATACGTTTGGTGCACTTGTAAGAAGAAGAAGTAAAGACAGGAAAGGATGGCCACTCCGCGTGCAGCCTTTCTTTTTCCTTTTTTTTTTCGCAAATACTTCTCTTACACCAAGCTCAGCCTCTTCTTTCGGCTGGTACGTCTCTTCCGTCCTGGAACCAATCGACCATCCCGAAGAGATTCTTAGTGACTGACAGAGCAGCATAAGATCCACAGCCAGGAACGACAGATCAGTTTTGCTCTCGCCGTCTCTTGCTGCTCCAAATCAATTGTTCCTGCTTTTTTGGTCGGAAAGTACCCATTGTCCTTGGTCGATCTGCGGCCTTGACCGGCGTTATGAACGACCACAACCACAGGCAAGCAACGCCAGCCAAAAAGAGAAGAACATGATATTGCAACACCACTTCACAAATGTGCGAGGATGTGGCTACAGGATTCACCTGTCATCCAACTGCCATTCGTATATGTGCAGGCTTCGCTAACTAGTGGCAATAGAGTCCGCCTTTACCCTGGTCATGTAATCTGGAGGTGCCAGTCGCTGGCTGTTCTCTCGTTTTCCCAAGGATCTGAGCGGCGTTTGAAGTTGGGCAAAGAGCGGGAGGCCAGCAATTCGCACAAAGGACAATATGGGAACTGAAAGGGGACAAAAGGAGAACAAAGGGAACAACAGCTGCAGGACCTGGCTGCGTGCAAGCGCTCGTGCGGTGTCGTGGGCTTTGCAAGTTCTGAAACGCGCAGGGGTTTGGAAAGAGAACAAAACAGAGTCTTGTTTGCGGCGGCTGAAGGCTTGGATATGGCGTTTGGAGTTGAGGGGCCAGGAGCAGGTGCGGGCTGTGGTTGGACGGGGCTGTAAGTTGCCAAGGGGGGAAAGAGCCCCTGGTACCCACTACTGACGACACTTCCTTCCCTAATGCCGCTTCGTTGGACAACATTCTCCCAGAAAGGGCAACCACTCGAAAGAGTCTCTTACTTTGGTTGGTCATTGTCGACTTCATCCTCTCTTTTATGCATTTTCACATCTTTTGCGTGAAAGCACGCGCCGGCGATCTTGACCCGGCCTTTAGTTGAGGCCGGCTTCTTGATCACGGGCCTGTTTTCGTATCTAATATTTCCCACCCTCTTTTGTTTGTCTGCTAGGCACGACCGAGATGAAAATAGATCTGGAGAACACATACTAGAAAAAGAAAAATGTTCAGAAAGATCAGATCCGAATTTTGACGCCAGAGAACAACGGCACAAAGGCCAATGCGCCTTCGCACTCGCACCCACCGCTCTGCACCCACGGCCCTCCCAGCCTGTCCATCACAGCCCCTGGATTGTCTCCTCTCGGTTCGGGACAAGGGTGTGAGAACAGTCTCCTCCCAAAGCTGCAACAAAGCATAAAACCCAGGAGCCTGGGTCGTCACCTACGTGGGGTATAATACGACGTCGTACATTCCCCTACAAACTGGGAGAAAGTGACTTGGATACAAAGACCCATTGACAAGTATCTCAAGAGATACCACGCCCATGTCTTTGTGTCTGTCCTGTCGACGACTCCACAGCCTCTTGGCAGAACAATGCGTGCTTCAGATTGTGCGTTCACCTCTCGTTGCTCAGTATCGGCGTCTGTGCCCCTGCATCTTCTCGTATTCTCACACTTTGCCAACGACCAGACCGTCGATCAGCACACCTCGCTTCGTCCTTCTCAGGACGTTTGTATTCTTTCTTTCCATGCACATTTCTACGCTCTTTCCTTTCCCTTTCGTTCAGCTTTCGCTCGCATCCACGGCAAGCGATCCGCAAGGCACACGGTCGTTCTTGCCGAAGTGCAGATCAGGTGGTCAAATGCGGCGAGAATACTACGAGAGAATAGGCAGAGTAAAGCAGGAACGATCGAATATCCTCCCATTTCAGATAGGCAACGGCTGTCGACACAAACCTTTATTTGTCGACGTTGATGGAAGGAAGATACGTTTAATCACACAGTTTCGAACGCGACCTCGGAGCTGTTGCACTAGCGTGGGCTACATTTTGAGAACTCCAGATTCGAGCCACGGAGACTTTGGCTGCTCATATATAGGTATAAATACGAGGCAAGGTACGTAACAAACAACGTAATGGGATCGTGGCGCAGTTGGCTAGCGCGTAGGTCTCATAGCGATATGAGCCTTATCCAAGATAGGCATATCCTAAGGTCGTGAGTTCGAGCCTCACCGATCCCAAGTTGTTTTTTTTCCTGTTTGGGCCATTTTTTTTTTAACTACCTCTTTTTTGTCCTTTTCAAACCACTTCCATTCTTTTTATAAACAAACATATCGTCACACTTTTTTTCAGTCGATATTGTACTTCAGTGCCTAAACCGAATTCCGTGTCCTGCCTTGTCCTGTCGACAGTTGAACCTAGTAAGTCCGTTAACGGCAAAAAGCAGAATCGTCCCAACTCAGCCTCGACGCATTAAGTCGGATGACCAGGGGTGTTGGGACTGGTCCATGGGGTGATGGACCAGACGATGTGATAGCCCCTCTCTTTTTATTCGTCACTGCAATGCATATCTTAATCGATGCGATAATACCTTCTCAGGAACCCGGTACGATGTAGACACCCAAAGATGAAGTGTGGAGGGTTTCCAATCCTCAATGCAAGTATGCTAAGCCCAAAGATGCCAAAGAAGGTGATTTAGGTTTGAAATTGGTATAAAATTCAAAAGAAGTCTATGGTCATAAAGGGGAAGGCGGTTCAAGCTGCATGGCAAGGCCCAGCTGCATTTAAAAAGATAAAGAAACAGAAAGAGCAAAATCGTAGAGACAATTAATAACTGCAAAATACAAAATCATATCCTTTCATATTTGATCGTATGCAAGTCATTTTGCGCCAAAAAAAAAGAAGAAGATGAAATCAAAAAGAAGACGAAGGAAAGAAAATAGTAGGCGTTAGCTGGTTGTGGTATTCGTGCAACCCAGGCGTCAAACCAAAGTAGAGCCACAGGGCAAATCATATGTATATAGAAGCAAAAGGCAAAATCTGGTAAGAGGAGAGATGAAAAGAGAGAAAAAAAAAAGCCACCAGATAAGTCACAAGTATGTTACACACCAGCTAATGGCCGTAGAACTGGCCTTGTGGCTGGTGCGGTGAGTGATGGAATGGTGACACCGAGCCCTGAGGAGTATAGTGTTCGCCGCTGCCGACGGAAGGATCAATTGAAGCATCGTACTGTAGCTGGCCACCGGCAATGGGCGCATGCAGGCCGAGCGCGTTGGCATCGGAGAACGTCGAGAATCCCGACGAGTCGATCATGCTAACCGGATCCGCAATGTACTGGTTGCCTGCCGGGTCCAGGTAGCCGCCAGTTGTGACGGGGAGTTGACCGCCGTAGGACTGCGCACCTGCAAAGCCGGGCTGCATGTCCAGAGTTGCGGCATCCAAGCTCTGCATCTGCGATGGAAGGACACCCGCAGCAACGAACTGCTGTGGCGTCTGGCCGTAGTATGCTGGCTGCTGATACTGCACCTGGGTGACAGCGGGGTACATGTACGCGTTGGGGTCGTGGGCGCTAGGCTGGCCAAAGCCACCAAGCTGCTGGCCCAGGTGGTGGTGGTGTAGGCCCGCACCGGGTACCTGGCCCGTCGCCATCATGTTCGGCGAGAGACGCGAGAGCTCACCTTGGTGAGCATCGGCTGTTGCGGGATATGCCACGGTTGGTGCGAAGGTCCGGGGTGGCGGATCTTGCACAGGGCTGATGAGCGTGTCTGCCTCCACCTCCTTGCGCTCCACGAGACGCAGGAGCGGTAAGCTGATATGCTCCATATGCTTGGCCAGGTGTACCGTCAGCTTCTTCCAGGTGGGGAATGTTTTGGCGCAGAAGCGGCAGGGTTCGTCCTGGGGCCGCGCCGTGGTCTCGGCATGGCACTGTTCCACGCGTTGCCAAGTTGGGTCAGGCGCGCCGGACTTCTTGATCGCAGCCTTGGTCTTGTGCTTGGGCTCGTTGAACTTGTGCTCGCGAACGAGGTGCTGCAAAAAGTTATCGCGACGGTAGCATGTATGCCGGCACTCTTCCACGTCGCATGTCCACCACTCCAGATGGCGATGACCCTCGTTCTCGTGGCGCACCCAGTCGGCTTTTCTCTTGAAGATTTTGGGGTCGCGGCACCTGTCCCACGTGCATGTGAATGGTTGTACGTCTTCGTGCACGTGCTTCGTCCAATCCGAAGGCTTCTGGACACGTCTGTTCTGGAAGCAAAGTTGGCACTCGAATTCGGCTGGCAGGGTGGTCGTTGGTGGCATAGGGATGTACTTGGGGAAGCTCTCCGCGTTGATGGCACCGTCCAGGGGAGATGTGACATCATCGGCGTCCTCGCCGTCATATGTCGCAGACAGAGGATCAATGCTGCGCGGCGCGCCCTTGCTGTCGATAAGAACGGCCACGCCGCCTTGTGCGATGCACAGTGGCCCGCTGGAGCACAACTGACCCTTCACTTGGCCTAAATGCTTGACCCGGCTGTTGAGCAGACCCTTATACCGCACGATCTGCTGGTGAGCAATGCGGTCTACCAAGTAGGTGTTGACGTCGACGAGCATGGGGTTGAGGCCCAAGACCAGCTCACGGAAGCCGTTGAAATCTGGCGTAATGTTGTCGATCAGCTCGTCGGACTCAGCCTTCAGATCACCATCATCGAAAGCCTCGTCGTCTTCGTCGTCCTCATCGTCCGGATCAGCCACCGCAACGCGGGTGGCCGGGATCTTGATGGGTGTGGGTGCGGTGGCAGGGGCTGGGGCGGGAGTGGGAGCGGCAGCAGATGTGGGGACGCCGGTGGCAGGGACCGACGTGGGTCCATGGAACATGGGCGTGGCGTTGGCCGTCGCCAGGGCCGCAATGGGCGGACCACCAGTCTTTTTGAGCATGCGGACCAGGTTGGGATGAGGATTGTCGAGCGTTCCCTTGGTGTCAGACTTGCTGCGGGGCCGCCGTAGAGAGTTGCCGACCTTGAGCAAGGGGCTTTTAGGCGATGTCAGGGGTGGGCTGAGGCTGCCGGAGCCGGCATGTGGCCTGCTAATGGATCCGTTGCGGGTGTGTGTAGCGCCAACAGAGGCCATGTTGCTGCCCATGGAGACAAGGGCTGTGTTGATACTGGGGATTGGCTGCTTGCTCTTGCCCCAGCTCTGCGTTCGCGGCGGAAGGCCAAGTGTGCTGGTGCTTTTTGTGCTGTCGCGGCGACTGTCGTCGGCGGGCGAGCTGTGGTCCGCAAAGTAGGACGACGCATCGTCATCTGGAATGCCGCGTGACCGCTTCAGCTGCTGACTGGTGCTCGGTTTGCGCACAAGCGTTCGCAGGTTGTCGAGAATACTGGGACGACGAGCTGGTTCGCCACGGTTGATGGCCAGCTTCTTCAGGAAGTTGCCGCTCGTGACGCCCTCAATATCGGCGATGCTGGGCAAGCTTCGCCGCCGGGTGCCCCACGTGGCGGCTCGCGACACAATGGACGCGTTGTCGTGGTACATGCGCTCAAAACGCTCAATGGCGGCTTGTGACGTTTCGGGCTGGTTTCGGACGGCGCCTTGTGCAATGGGCAGCACAGAAGGACCGTTCTCCCAGATGCTGCTCTTGAGCATGATCTCGTAGTCGGTAGCGGTGACGGGCCCGCCGTTGCCAGTGAAGTATGTCCGGCCTGGCTGTTCGACGTTCTGTGTCTCGCCGCCGAGATCGACCTCGCGCGTCGACACGCCCTCAAAGGCGCCTTCTGGGCCAGGTGGCGGGCCCTGAATATCAGGCTCGCCGCCAGCAGCCGAGTCGAGCCATTGGCTGACAGCGGCGTTCTGCTTCTCCACCTTTCGTGCCTCGGCATCGTCGTTGATGTTGGTGAGGATCTCGGTCGAGGGGCGATTTGACGGGTCGATGCCACGACGGGTAGATTGCGCGGCCCCATCGGCCTGTGCGAGGAGAGGGCTGTCGCCGGCGTTAGAGCCGGCGCGCTCGGTCTTGATCTCGCTGGAAGACAGATAGCTCTCCTCGTGGAGGGCGCTGTCTTTGCCCCAGAGCGAGACGGTGACATGGGGGTTTTGATTTGACATGGGAGGCGCTGTTGTCGCGGTGGCGCCCCCTTCAGTGGACAAACTACCTCGATCGTTGTTTCCTAAGCTGCCTCCGCTGCTGGTTGTATCTGGCGTGAGCTGCGTGGCGGCGTCACTGACAAACGTTTGCAGCTGCGGTACGGCTGTCGTTCTTGTTGCTGTTGCTGCGGGGACCTTGGTGAGTTGCTGTGGCGAGACAAGGCCGTCAAAGCTCGGTACAGCGGCAATGCTGCGGGATGTGGCCTTTTGCGCGGCAGCCGACGAGGAGGCGGCGTTGCTGGGGGAGGCGGGCGCGTTGAGAGATGGTGTCTGATCGGGGCTGATGGGGTACGCCTTGATGTCATTGAAGATGGGCTCGGGCGTTGTATATGTCTGCGCGTTGGTGTCTGCGAGTGAGGCGGCAGCAGTGGCAGCGCCAAAGGGGTCGAAGTTGCCCGCGTCCTCGGCGAGGAAGGAGGGCGCGTTGCCGCCAGTGGTGCCGAAGATGGCGTTGAAGTAGTTGTCGTCGCCCGCGTTATCTACGTCAAACTCACTGTAGTCACTGGACTGGTAGTGGATACTGAGGGCGACAGACTCGGCAGGGGTGTCTGCGTTGTTGAGGGCCGGCGAGGATGCAGTGTTGTGCAACATGGGCGGAGAGAAGAGGAGACTTGAGCCGGTGGGCGTGCCGGGCTGCAGGTTGTCAAGGTCGTCGGTGGTTTCTGCAAACTCAGAGGGCAGATTTGGAAACGGATATGAAGACATGATGAAGGCAGAGGAGAGGGAGAAGAAGGGAAGGGTGAAGGTGTTGTCTGCCTTGTATATACAGCTCAAGAGTTCAGTGTGGGTAATGGGGATATCAGGTAGCACTCGCGGAATGGAGTAAAACGTACGAAAAAGGAAGTGATGAGAAGGAAAGGGAACATGCAAAAAAGACGGGCACTGACACGAGGCAGAGGACGATTGATTGATGAAGGAGAGAGAGTTGGAGGAGGATGGGACGAAATACCAAGTCCCGTTTCGATCAAAAGGTAGCGTCGTCCGTCCAGCTTGTGGGTGGAGGGACAGAGGTGCAAGGATCAAACAATCCTGGCTTGGGCGGGCTTCCTTCGTCACCTCTCTCAACCTCTCAAGGTAACTCGCACAGGGAAGAATTGGAGAGATGGGTGGGGGGGGGGGGGGGGTTGGTTGGGGCTGTTGCAGTGGTAGGTGCGGCTAAGGCGAGGGCGGGGACCGCAGTGCAAGTTGCTCGTGTTTGTTTGACTGCGGGCAGGCGCGGCGGGAACCCAAAGCTTAATTAGTGAAGGGGGAGCAGTGGCAGTTGACCGTTTCACTCAATGCGGGCAGCCGGTTGAGATTGTGGTAACGGGGATTGTTGATTGTTGATGATTGTTGATGAAGATGGTGATAAAGCTACTGAGTACGGAAAGGGGATAAAATCGGGAAGAAAGGGGTCTGAGGCTACAAATGGACCGCGAGAGGGCAAGAGCATTTCTGAATTTTCTGAGGCAGGTGCGATTCTGCGTGCGGCGCTCTTGTGGTTCAGCTGAAAATTATAAAATTACGGAGAAGGAGCATGCCTCTTTGGTCGAGCGCTCCTGCCCCAGGATATTGGGGGCATTGGGAGGCCCCTGGCCGCGTGCGAAGAGAGGGAAAGCGCGGTTGCTGTTCGGTCGCGCCAAATTGAGACGATGAGCCGATTTGTACTAGGGCGGGTTGCAGCGCTTATTCGCCATGGTACGCCAGCAAGAGTTCTTTATTCCGTTCCACTTTGTATTTACATCGTATTCGTCAGAATACGGAGATCATGAGTTGTGTAAGTCGTCTGCCTGTTTGTTACTCTTTTCCTCTGCTTCTGGCCTGGTAGACCTTGCCAGCCCCGCCTAAGTGGCCGTGTTGTCCAATTCTCTTTTGTATCATACGGCCCTGGACGCAACTCGTTTTTTTGGTCCAAAAATTTCGGCATGCGCCGCGGGCTGTGGAGCTACAGCCGTTTTGAACAGGAGAATGGAACAGCCAAATGTTCTGGAGAACGGCGCATGACGGGCTGTGTTCCAGTGCCTGGAGCCCCTGGCCTCCTCGTGGCTTTAGGTGACCCAACATAACCTTTTTTCCAGGGCAAGCATTGCGAACAAGAAAGCCGATGCAATATTCCAACATGGCAATGTACTTGTCGATCGAGGCAGCGGCTGAGCAGCCGTAGCTGTGACGGGGGACCGAATACAGGGTGACGGGCCAGCCACGCCGGTTCTGTCGAACGTTTAGACTTCGACAGCATGGTTCGGGATTTTAATACCAGACACAGACAAACAGACCACACAAGCCAGGAAACGACGATCCCATGCCTCACATCGAGTTTACACCAACGACTCCACCGTTTGACGGAGGCTCCGCGGGAGATAGTGGGAACAAAGACGCCAAACCGCTCTCGGTTTTACACGGGATGTGGCAGCGCGGAAGCCATGTCGCAGTGTTAGTTTTTCATTTTGCCTTTGACTCGTACAGAAGTACTTTTCCGCAATGCGGTGCAGTCACCCTGACAGGGCAGAGAAAGAACCCGTACCCGCAACGGAAAGCCAGTGACAGGAGAAAATAAGGAAAAGAACTAGTGTGCCAGTAGGGATGATAGCGCAACCTCATCGAACGGCGCCAGGTGTGTGTGGGGAGTGTAAAACAAGGGTGAAGGGAATGGTGCCCACATCCCATTGCAGGGGCAAGCGATGCAAACAAGAGAAAATTGAACGGCGTGAGTGCCTGTCTTGTCTGACTTGGCGTAGCGCTGGCCCTACGAGAAAGGAAAACGAACGGCCACGAACGATATACGGGAACCTTGGGGGGGAACCTTGGGAAAGGCCAAGAGGTGTGTGAGTGTTAGGGTTGGGGCGGGCGTGAACACATCCGTCTGTGCGTCTAGGTGTGTCATCGTCTGTGGGACAATCGGACGGACTTGACCTGGTGAACGGATGGCGGATGGAGTCAAACGGTTAGGCAAGGCAGTCTGGCTCCAAGGACTGCCGACGAGAGACGAAAGACGCCTTGTTATTACAACACAATTAAACAAAAGAACAAAAAAATATAGGCCCGGGATGACGGTGAGCAAAGGCTGAGAAAGACGAAAGAAAACAAAGCGTTGATGAGGCACCAACCATTGACGAGGCTGGTGGACCGCGTTCTGGTTCTGCTTGGAAATTCAAACGGTCGTGTTCAATATTCCCTGCCTCAGAGCTCGCTCAATCTGGTAACAGGGCAGAAAAAGGCGACAGTCGATATGGGTCCCTCCCGGAATACAGGGTGTGAGATCGATAGCGCGGCAACCGGCAACAGGACGGTGGGGAGAACTGTCGAAGTACGATGTAAGTTACAGTCCACTGAAGATGCTTGGAATTGCACTAGCTGCAGTATGTGCGAGGCGTTTTCGCGGCAGGCTAGGCGCAATTTACTTGCCAATGCCAACGAGCCGCCAGGCTGCCAGGGCCGAGGCCAAGGTGGGAAACGTCCAGTCGTTCTGAGGATGTTCAGTGGATGGGACTCGCTGGCGGACCTTGCAAAGTTACAGTCGATTGCTTGCTCTGTCGCAGCGGTGCAACCGCTAAGCCCCACGCGCCGTTTCTCGCTCTGCCCTGGACCCTCTTACGAGGCGTATTTTCGTGCATTTTCTGGCCCAAGCTCCAGCTCCCCTTGTCCAAGATTTTCTTTTGTTTCACTGCTTGCCGGCACAGTCATGACGACAGATCCACGACGGTAGATCGCAACGCATGGTCTGGCCAGGAACGGCCAAAACAGCCCTGGGAACTTCTCGAGTTCGATTTGTTGGATCCCGGGCCTTGTGAGGGAGGACTACTTGCTACATGTGACCGAGAGTTTGTGACGAGACCGTCTTGAGAAGGGTAGCCTTTCGGTACAAAACCGCGAATCAACTGGCAGTGCACACGCGACCCTCAACGACTGCAGGCAGTGAGATGAAGCTTTCTTGTTCTTGTCGCTGCATCTCACCAGTACGAGATACGACGTGCAGCGACTGCAGGTCGCAGAGGACAAGTGTATGCCAATGAAGGCAACAAAATAACCCTGCGCACAATGTGTCTTTTTTCCCGTGCCGCGCATGAAGCTTTGGCCATGGAAAGGCACCAGCAGCAACCAACTATTCTCGATGCCTACGAGGATGATAACATTTCCGATGTCTGCCTCCGCGGATTGACGGCAACATGAGTGGCCAATGCTGTCTCGTCAATGTGTTCACGCTGGTCAGACAGCTCTCTCAGCCGCTCCTCCAACAGTTGCCTGGCGATGTCGTCGATTGTCGGACCATCCCAAGTCACCGAGGTGCGCTTCTGGAACCGGTGGCCGGACGAGAGGACGTCGCACCGCCCAAGTCAAGGCAAGGTAAGCTTCGTGGCTGGCTCGACCTACCTCTCTGTACGCCCCCCTCACAACAAGCATGCCGGGATTAGGACACGTTGGAGCGGGTCAGATCATGAGAAAATCAAAATGGATTTTGACTTCTTTCTCGCCGAGTTGGTTGTTTAGCCGATCGGAGTATCTGCACAAACGTGAAGGGAGCAAGGGAGGTCCGTTGTGTCGTACAAGTCACGTCTGTAGGCCGCATTACTTGGCAGCTATTGTGGCAGGACAAACGACCAAGGCTAGAGACAGCTCAGCTCGATGTACGAACGTACACAGCCACCGAATCTTGGGGCTGGCTTTTTAGCGCAGTGCAGCCCTGGACGAAAGAGCCAATCCGAGGCCACCGTAGCTGGAAGTCGATGCTATGTTGGCTCGTGTCGAATTGCCATTGCCAGGAAGACAATTGATATTGAGAACAACCCGAAAACGTAATGAAAAGAGGAAACCAAAACGAAAACACAAGACACAAGAGACAGGGCAGTGTTGAGGTGCGTCAGAATATGGACTGCAACATATTCTGTATTGCCTCCTGGTGAAACGCTGTGCAGCAGCTGCACAAAGCATCCAGGGTGTCATGCTGGTCCAATGCAGTAACCAGCCCAGCCAATGGGGAATGGACGGCTTTGGAGGCTCTGTCTGCAAGACAAACCCACCGATCGAGTCGGGATGCACTAAGCACATTGCGCCAAAAGCATGGACTCATGGGCTCGGTGGAAAAAGAACCAGACGAGGATAGGCCTCAGAACAAAGGAAGAAAAAAAGAATTTCATAGAACTCACAAACATACTCAACATGCGTCCTGGTATGCGAGACTGCAAAATGCCAAATGCTGGCAAAATACCGGAGATGCGAAAAAAGGGGTGCTGTTTCTTCCTAAACAAGCCATGTGAGGACGTTGCGGAATTTTGCCGCTGACTAACGTTTCTCTTCAGCCTCTTCCGAGGCGCTAACTGGGGTAGAAGCTCGGCACTAGCGGAGACCGTGTGATGCCACCCGCGCCGCTGAAACGATTGGCTGCGAAAGCTGTCCTGCCACCATTGCATCCGTTCAGAGTCAAGAGGAACGAAGACATCACATCATTCCCCGTCAACGTCCAACGCATCGCTTCTCACCCCTCGCGCCGACATCGCTGCGCAGTTCAATACACGTTCTAGTTGCTGTGCATCCGATGATCACGCATATCTCGAGCTAAAGCCGTCTTACCGTTCACTAAAACTACACAATGGTACGCCTTGTCGCTTTCGGTCTCCCTTTTTGTGCTATTCGGTGCGGGAGACTCTCTCTCTTCCTCCGCTTGGTGCTATCTTGTGTTTGTTTGATTCGCCGAGAGGAGCTGCGTTGCACCGCAGCCTTCTCCCTATCACGGCATGCTGGGGGGCAAACGTATTTTTGCTAACACAGCCTCGCACACGTGAACAGTCCCTCGATGTCCAGTCTTATGTCCTGGCGGCGCTGACCGCGACCGGCGGCGTCATTGGCTTTGCCAGAACGGGTTCTGTGCCCTCTGTTGTTGCCGGCGTGGCCGTGGGTGTCCTGTGTATGTGACCCTGGTCCTCTGTCCCTGATCTCATCTCCTGTGTCGGGCGTCTCGTGGCCTGCACCATCCCCGCCTTTGCAATGTAAGTCTCCGTGGCTAATATCTCCTCTAGACGGCCTCGGCGGCTTGCGGCAGCAGAACCGCCAGCCGTATGGCGTCGAGCTTAGCCTTCTCGCCTCGGTCGTCCTGGGCGGCGCGTCGATCCCGCGTGCCATCCGCCTGCGCAAGCCGGTGCCAGTGATGCTCAGTCTGATCGCTGCCTACGGCCTGTACAAGTTCGGCAGCGCCTACTTCCGCAGACCATAGGCGATGCGCGCGGAATGAAAGCGACGAGGCTAGATGCGGTTGGATATGGCACAAGTGTTGCAAACAACAGCTACGCTTGAGCAAGTGTTTTTTTCCTTCATCTTTGAAGCGGAAATGTGAGATTTCTCATTTTTGTAGCCTCGGTCCCTGCTGGCCAATGGACAATCTCGATTCGAGAATAGTCCTCTTTCCTGCGGCATTCCGAATAGAAAGTTCTCTGCTCCTATCCCTGCAGCAAAATAAAATGTGAACCGTAACGCCTTAAGAACATGATTTTTTATCCAGAGGGTGTATCTTCAAACCTCCCTTTGCCCTCAGCTCGCCTTCGATCCTCTTGACCTCCAATCCTGCATAGCCTCCCATCCCACCTCTGAATTCATTCGTCGGTCTCCTTTTGGTCGTCGTATCACGATCGTTTCGTTTAGGCGAATGTCGGTTCGGGATTTGCCCATGGGTAAGCGTAGATACAGAGGCCGGTATGGCTCGACCCGAAGCCGCGTGAACGCCGTGTGGCCATTGACGATTTTGCGTTGTTGCCTCAGTTGATTGTCTTGCCCGACGCATCATGAGTTCTCGTCAATGTCCTTCCACATCGCCCGGATCTTGTCGCGCTTCTCCTGTGCTTCCGATCGGTTGGCCACCACCCGCTTCGCCCGCTCGGCCTTGAGGCATAGGCTCAGCTTGGACTTGGCGTCGTTGCACATGCCCGCCGCCTTCCACAGAAAGCCCTTCGCGTGGCATTCCTCAAAGGCCGCCATGACCTCGGCACAACCTAGTTCTTGTTAATACCTGGTATTTTGTCTCTGGGGTCCATCGGCCACGGCGTTTGTTCATGTTCATATATACCTGCGTGCCGCTCGGCATCAAGATGGGGATGCATGGGGGGCGTCTTTGTCTTGGATGCTGTGGATATTGACGTTGTTTGAGAACTTCAGTCGCGAGACGAGGACGTGGGCATGCAGCGGCCGGCGAAGAGTCGGCACCGGTGTTGCACTCCAAAATTTGTCGCCTTTTCGGTAACGACATTCGTCGTGTGATTGCTGCTGTCCAGTATTTGGTACAAAGTGGCGCGACGAGAAACGAAACTCAATGGCCGTTGAAAAAGTTGACTGGGGCCAAAATGGGGGCATTCAATTGGTGCGCGACCCAATTCACTGGCGATTGCGCCTGCCAGCTGCCACCTGGGGCGTCACCATCAAAGCCCGACACAGCGCTCCACTTTATTTTACAACTTTACAGCGGGCCTGGCCAACTTCCCCTCGATTTTGCTCCTGCCTACAGAGCGAGCTTCGTGACGACATTAACCCTTTTGCACGACATATTATGCCGCTGTCCTTTCGGTCATTTTCGTGACGAAACAAAAAGCTTCCCAAGAGTTGGCGGACCACTACGCATCCGAACAATGTCGGCGGCTGCTGCAAGCCCGGCGTCCGCGCAGCCAGCCTCGGCCAAGAGGCAGCAGGGTAGGTCTCCTTTGGGCTACGTGAACGGTTGAGGTGATGGACACAAAGACGCAGAGAAGAGATGGAGGATGGAGGCACAGAATGAGCTGGATGGAAGACTTACTGACGCCGGTCCCGTGCCCCGTTCCTCTTTTGCAGACCTCCAGGTGCAGTACACCAACTACAAGAACGCCCTGCAGCAAATCGCCCAGAAGATTGGCGACGTCGAGCAGGAGGCCGACGAACACAAGCTTGTCCTCGAGACACTCGAGCCTCTGCCGGCCGACCGCAAGTGCTTCCGCATGATCAACGGCGTGCTGATCGAGCGCACCGTCAAGGACGTCATCCCGGCTCTCAAGACCAACGCCGAGGGTCTGAGCAAGGTGCTGGACGATCTGGTCAAGCAGTACAAGTCAAGACAAGAGGACCTGGAGAAGTGGAAGGTTAGTGCTCGCAAAGGGCCCGGGGAGTGTCACCATCGTGGAAGCCGGCCAGACAGCTAATACATGTTTTCTCTCCTCTACAGAAGAAGAACAATGTTCAGGTCGTGCAATCATAACCTGCAACATTGGCGAAGCACGAGCCGTGGCAGGCCGCAGAACACGACAACGCGATTATTCTTCATACGATGATACAGCGACAACGTCTTGGTGTTTGAACTCTCTGGAGAGGTCGATGTTCGCGACTGCAAGATGGGGGTCAAAGACATGCGGAAGAACGACAAAGCGATGGCGATGACAGGGGACGACGGACAACACACAACGGACAGCGAAGACCTGAGCAAAACGTTTATGCACAATGGTTTGGTCTTGGGCATGGATGGGTTAAACGACGTCTGTGGTCGGCCGCCTAGCGAGGTCGTCGTTGCGTTGTCAACGATGAGGAACCGGCATGACGTGCCGGCGCATTGGCCATTGTTCGGGTCAAGTGTGGCACGGCTGGCTAACGTCGGGATGCGTTGTCCTGTCTCGTGGTGAGAGGAGAAGGCGATGAGGTATCGGGGGCCAAGAGCCAGCAAAGCAACGCCCCCTCTTCTGTTCGCTGTCGGCAAATGCTTTTCGCCTGTCATTCGGTCGTCGTCGTCTTTGCCGCTTACTGTCATGCTCGGAAGGCCTTGTTCACTTCTTTCGTAATATGTCTGGAATGATACCACTGCATACAGGACCACATCACTGTCCATACATTTTCAAACATATTTGGCATTTCACGCCCATGAAGAGGCCTGGTATCTGGCACTATGAGCACATTGTATGAGCAAAATCTGCACATCCGTAAAACTTGTGTACAGGTCTTCGTAATGGCCACCCGCGGCCAAAGCAGGCCATCCGGATGCCCAACCAGCATTTGGTATTGGGCTGCAAGTATTTTAAAACCGACAGCAAGGCCTGTAGAAAAGCCAGCGGCATAGTCGATGCACAAAAAAAGACCGATTGGGAGGCCATCGTGTGTCTAAGGATCACTAATACCGTCAGTCTTCCCGACTGAGGCCAAATAGCTGAGCCTCGAGACATCGTGGCGAGCCACTAGCCAGCTGGCCGGTACCCCACTTCATCGACGACAACTCTTGGATCGCATCCAATGCTGGCCGACCAGACGACAGCGCGCATCGGCATGCACCGAACTCGAACAAGTGCCAGTTGTTCATCGTCCTAGTTCTGCCCTCCTTTATGCATCCTCTAATGCACACCGTGATGCCTACTGCGACTACTGCGCCAACGTCACGCATCCACACCTTGTCTTACCAGGATGTTTTGGGGAGGTGTTTTCTCTCGTTTATTCTCCTTGGGATACATTGCACAAGCACAGGTCTGCCGGCCGTGGCGAGCGGCCAAGTCAAGCTGGTTCATGAACTATTTCTGTCCTTCTCCCACCGCCCTATTTCGTCATCGTCCCACAGCCCGAAGTGATCTTATCTTGCTCGTCGCTTGTCTTGCCCCCACGGATGCCGAACACCCCGTTCGGGAAAGTGTCTCGTTGGCTTCGAAAAGTCTGACATCTCGTCGAGGGTTACACACCTGTTCGTTGGCCTCGCCGCACCTGGACAACATTGGCTGGTATCGTTCCTGTGTCTTGTTGTGATATTAGCCGTTGACAAGTGCGACTTGATGCAGCATGGTCTGCCACCTTTTCCTCTCGATTTTGTAAACAAAAGCTGATGGAAGTCCTAGATTTAAGAAAGTACAAAAAAAGAAGTTAAAAAAAATTGCTGCCTGCACCCATTGGACGATCCGTGGTCGGCGCAAAACACTCGATATTTTCTTCTCACTCCTCATCTCCCTGCAGCACTGCCAACTGGCGAATGGCGCCCAACTTGCTTCTACATTTGGATCTTCAGTCTGGTGCATTTCTGCCCAATGGGATGATATGGTCGCCAGCATGTTCTGCTATTGGACGGCTATCCCGGACATTGTTGGTCTGCGGGCGCAGCCTTACAACCATCAATAAAGAAAATGGAGAAACGGGGCTGCATTCGTTTTTAGGTTCCAGGGTGTGTGAGGCGGGCAATCAGAGACAGACGTGCCTTTGTGGTTGCTTTCGGTGCCAGAGCCGGGCCAACTGTAGCGCTGCAAGCCATTGTCAAATCACTTTCGAGGATTTCTCGTCAGAGGATGCGAATGTAAACAAATTCGGAGCCCTGCCAACAACACTGTATATCGAAGTCATCGTGATGGTAACGGCCTTGGGGAAAAATAAAATGTCGACGCATCCCTCAGAAACTGAATTACTAGGGCGGCAAAGCCGACATAATCAGGAGCGAGGCGGAGAAAACGACGCAAAAAGAAATAACGAAAAACAGCTCGCAAACCAGGGCATACTCCCATTGCGCCAGGTCATTTCCTTGAGTCTTCCGTTTGCTGTCTCCATACCTCCTTTTGCAAAGCAATAAATTGCCGTCCACGGACGCTCGCGCGTACATCCCGTAAAGCTCGCTTCATTCTCTTACCGCCTCGTCATTCTGTCTTGCGGTCCCTTTAACGTTCGTATCTCTTGGTGGGAGGTGGGCTTGATCCTGGCCTTGGCCTCGTTCAGCCTTCACCGCCTCATAGCATGGCATGTCCGTGTTGGCACATGCTGCTGCAATGCCACCCTTCTTTCTTGTTGCTGGGATGGTGCGCGGCCCCAACCCCGGTCGAGACTCGAAACCGGTGACGTTGTGAGGAGAGGGAAGAAGAGCGGTTACAGAATTTGCACACAAAAGTTTATTACGACGTACTCAGTACTCTCTTCGATTGCGTTGATTGGGTAATGTCATTGCCGTGACAGCAGTCACAACCACAGCCCTTCCTCGTTCGCGCCTGCCTTTCTGACAAACAGCACAATACGGAATGTGTCTGTGAGGTTGGGGTGGCGGGTCTGTTTTTCAGCCGCTCTTTCCCATGTTTTGCACAGCGCTTTTTCACAATGCAAAAGAAAGCGCTCTTCGTCATGCCAGAGCGATGGAGCTACTAAGGAGAGACCCCACTTGGCAAGGAATGTACATATAACTCACCATAAACTACAGCATAGAGTAAGTACTCATAGCACACAGAAAGTACCGGACTAGTCTCAGACGCTAAACAACCCGGCAATGTCGAAAGAAACAACGCAAAAGTCTTGTGTTGACATGGGTAATTTGGGTGGGGAGGAAGCAGCAACCAACAGTAGCACCACCACCTTCCTCCTCACCTCTTCCCCCCCTCCCAAGCTTTTCAGCATCACAGCACAACAGCAGCAGCTCGACATACTGACCCGCTTTGCCGCATTCTTTTGTCGTCGTTTCTCGCAACCTCACCAAACACACCCTTCTCGTCCTCGTTTTGCATCTCCACGCGCCACGCCTCTCTTTCACCGACTCTCTTCGCTCCGCCTTTGCGCTCTGCCTCTCGTCTTGTCGGCATCTGCCAATCGACCCCGTTTCCCACTTCCCGTCGCGTTTTCTGCACTACGCCGAAACCCCACGTCCTTGCAGCGCATCTATATGCGCCAACGCATTCGCCTGCATCTTTAGCCCAACCGGAGACAGTTTTTTCCCGAATACATTGCACCCGGTGGAAGCTTTGCGATTGCAACAGAGGTAAGATACGTGTTTGCCTGCCACCCAAAGATCCGCAGCCCGCGACTTGGGTGTCTCTGGCGTTGGGGCCGTGGCCCATCCGTGTCCCTGCTCTTGTTTGTCTTGCGTGCTTTGCGTGCTTTGATTTGCGCGCTCGCGCTCTCGTCTCGCGCTGGGTATCGCCCATCGTACTTGTGTCGCTGCCGGACAGTCGTCGACAGGTAGCAGCGCATTGGACAGGCCTGCGTGGCTACACATCCTCTTTGTCTCTTGTCACGGCGGCCGGGTCTGCTCCCAGAGAATCTACCGGCGCTTGTCACGCGTGCCAGATGGAAGACAGCTTTCGCGAAGCACGAGAAAGCGCGAGATGCGTGCTTGTCGCGTTCGGCGCTGTGCCACTTGTGTGCCACTTGCGGTTGTGTTGTGTCTGGCGTGGCAAGGCTGCAGCTGCCTACAACGGTGGCCATTAAACGCAAGCAAGTTAAGCAGGCGCGGTCGTTGTAAGGCAGGGGAAGGAAGACATTCAATGCGGTTCCTGGTTTGCTAACACTTGCGCGCTGCGGAGGCAGGGTGGTTAAACAGGCTTCATCCAGTTATCACCGCCCACTGAGAACGGGACAGCGAAACAATCGCAGCACGCCCAACGTCAGCGAACCGCATCCACACACAGCCCTCTCAGGCCCTAACGCACCCGGTTCCGTACCTGCGGGAAAATACAGGTTCTTCGTGTAGGTAGCCAACCAGTGACATCCCAACCTCATCCCGGGACCTTAGTTTAACCAGGCACGCGTGCAGCCCATGCGGTCTCGGCTTGGCTTTGTGGCAGGAGTACCGGGCAGACGAGAAATGTGACCAAAGAGAAGACTGCACAGGCTGACAAAAGAGACACAGAACAACATTATCTAGGGTTCCAAGAGATAACCCCAGCTTTCTCAGGGAACCCAAGTGTTGAGGAGCCTCGAGTAAGCCCGCTGTCTCCACATCCAAAGCGCACTCCAGCTTCCGCTCTGCGCAGCTGATGATTGTTGAAGGCAACCAACTGATGTCATAATAGTCCAAATTCCGAGCAGACCGAGAACTCGTTCTCATTGCCGCCCACAGAGCAACATTTGTGGCCAGGACCCGTACTGACACGAGTACGAGAGAGCACGGCTCAAAATACGACACGGGAACCTGCAGGGTAAGCCAAACCGCAAACAGAATGCACAAGAATCCAAGATAGGTGGGAGTGTGAAAGGGACAAACTGCTCGTGGGATTAAAAGAAAAGCAAACGAGGGGAAGGTTATGGAAAAGCCAGTCCTTCAGGTTTGCAAGACCGCAGTAGAGGCGCATTGCATCCACTTGCTTTTTCTCTATCCTACCCTCTACCACACCCCTGTCCTCTCCCATGCCCACATTCCAACGCACTCCCACCGCTACGTCTTTGCATGTTCCCAAACAATGCACACGCACCCCCCTTCTCTTAACCCACCACGCCAGCAAACATCGTGTACGAATGAGGCTAAAACAGAAAATATCGGGCAGGAAACCAAAGGATCGGTCAAAAACGACAAGACGTAGAACCTGGAACAGGGCAAAAGCGCTAGTCCCGTCTGACCTGAAGCACGTTTTCACCCCGACTCTGTACGTTGCTGCACGTCGAGCGGCCCAAGGAGCGAAAACAAGGCCGCCCATTCCCATTCCTGCCCACCTGCAACGTGTCAGGGACACATCATCTTGCCTAAACACCTGTGCGAGCAAGCAATCCAAGCAATTACAAGAAGCAGCTCACACCCGCTGCAGGTAGCCAAATATGTCCGACTCCCCGCAGTCCAATCCAAAAGATGTCGAGCAGGACGTACAGTCTCCGAACGAGGACGACCAAATGAATGATCCTCAAGACCCACACTCGAGCGCGCTCGGCTACGAGTTCGAGGTGAAGGAGCAAGACCGGTGGTTGCCCATAGCCAATGGTAAGTTGCTGTGCCGAGAGATTTGCTTTTGTTGTTGATTTCCTGTCCCCTTTTCTTCTGCATTGTTGCTCGTGTCTCGGGAGATGTTGTGATGCCTCTTCCTTAGATGAACGTCACCAGACTCCGTTACACATTGTGCAAGGTGCAAGTGTGCAGTGCGAGTGCCTGTACGCTTACAACGAGAACGAGGATGCTGTGGAAGGGAACGTTAGAAAATGGTTGGATGAACATGGACGGCTGGAACGGATTGGAAGACGTCTCCTTTGGCACTGTTCTCGGCCGACGGTACGGGCGTGCCCTGTACGAAGGTGCCAGGGAGGGGACTTGCCGCGGTGGTGATACGCGTCCAAATATGCTTCTATGAGAGCACCTGGCGCTATCATGCTTCCACGAGGCGTACAGGCCGCAAAGGCACGCACCTGCCTTCGTGTTGTACTCACGGCGCGTGCAGCAGCAGGAGGCAGGTGGCAGAGGCAGACAATCAGCGACGACAAGCAGCGTGGGACACCCCTGAAAGGAACTCGGACGGGTTCGACTATTCTCTCCTTCGGAATTCGTCGATACAGCCCCCCAACCGTCCTGCCACAAACGCTCCTGGCTAGATGAACCGTCTCGATAAACAGCCGCGGGTGCGCAACGACGATTTGACAATCAGGAGCCTGCGTATTGCTTGCATGCGCGCCTTTCTTCCTTTCCACGCCTCTTGTCCGAAGGAAAGAAAACGGCTGGGGAAACGCGTCGCAGCCCTTGCCTCCGAAGCCTGAAGCCTGCAGCTACACCTTGCCCTTTGCACAAATCGCCTCTGCTCCATTCTCCATGTCCCGACAGCGCTCCTCCCCCTCCAAGTCGCCAGGCGAAGGGCGTGGCTTGTCTTCGCGGCTTGACAAGCACGATGTATACGACGCTAACATTCGAAACTTTGCTCCAGTTGCCCGCATCATGAAACATGCGCTCCCAGAGAACGCCAAAATTGCAAAAGAGGCCAAGGAGTGCATGCAGGAGTGTGTCAGCGAGTTTATATCTTTTATCACCAGTGAAGGTAAGACCCATGTGCCCCGATCCGAGGTTGTTCTTTTTGTTTTGTTTTTCTTGTCTCCGTTCCGACGGGCCAGTTCGTCATGTTTAACACCAATAGCATCCGAGAAATGCCACCAAGAAAAGCGAAAAACGGTTAACGGCGAAGATATTCTCTTTGCCATGACGTCATTGGGGTTTGAGAACTACGCCGAAGCTCTCAAAATTTACCTCTCGAAATACCGCGAGGTGCGTACCATGACTCCCACGTTTTATATTTTCGATCAGCGGCCTCCCTAACACCATGCAGTCTCAATCAAATCGTGGAGACAACCAGCAGGGTCGTCCTGGCAGCCAGGGCTTCGGTGCCGCCGGGGGCGCAGGCGCGGCTGGCGCGGCTGGGTTCCAGGGCGGTTCCGAGCTCCCGGCCGCCGAGGGTGGTGCCGATGCGTCTAACTACATGTATGGCGCGCAGGCCGGCCACAACGGATCTGCTGGCGGCGAGGGCGGCTACTAAGGGACGATGACTGTCGACTGGAAGCATCAATGCTCGCTCGTCGTCGTGACAAAGCGCCGTGCCACCGCTTTTAGAGCAGCACGACGCACCGCGAAGCACCACACGCAGCAACAAATCACCTGTTTCTTGCGCCCGCATGCTGGTCATATTTGGTGGCACAGCTATCCCAGTCTCCACTGCCGGGCGCATGTACCAGTAAAACGAAAGGATCGAGGTGGTATGGGCTCACCTGTACTTGGATTGGCATCCTACCGCGGCGCGGAAGGATGGCCTGCCTAATGTACACTGAACATTTGGGTTTTATCTGACTCCTTTTGTTTGTTTTTGGATCTGTCGGGCTCGTTTTTCATCCGCTACTACCTTTTCCCGTCTACCTTCTGTCCTCTCTTTGTTGTCGTCCTTTTATCTGGATTCGGTTTATAACTTTTTGGATTTTCTATTGTCTGCGTCTCCTTCCACCCCGCGTATCCTTGTTTGAGATTGTCCCGCCCTTTATCGTCCCCCTGTATTTCTTTACTTCCCCTACCCTGTTTGGTTTGTGGCTTATTACTTTGTCGGTTTTCCTTGTCGGTTCTCTCTCAAGTCAGTCGATAGATTCCCCCAGGGCACCCTACGTTTGCACCAAGGTTCGTGCCATGACGAGATCGCTCTCGAGGCAGAGCCCAGAGGCTGTTCGGTAGTTGCTGTTTTTATTGAATTTGATTTTGTATTTTCGGATTGCATGTGTCGGTCTCGTTGGTCACCTTTAACCCTCTTTACCCCACCGTCACAGGCGGTTCGATGCTTGGCCCTGTTCCCTCTCAGTGATGATTTGAAGAGACGCATGCGCATTTCGCCTCATCGATGGATATTGTATGGCCGTGAAAGGGGTGGCCAATTCCCTTTGTGTGACCAGACATGTTGTGGTTGGTGAGGCGATATTATCGGATGGTGAAAAGGCGGCAGCCAAGCCAAGCCACGGTCATGCACTTAGACTGTGCAACTGAAGAAGCAAGCGAGAAGGCAGACAGACTAATGGAAACTGCAACCGGGACCGACAAGCAAGGACGGATTCTTTTCTTACACCCTTGTCCACGTGTTCCCGTTGCCTGTTGGATGGTTTTCATTGTTTTGCTGTTGCAGCTTTATATTACGACGAAACGAAACAAGAGGAGTGGGAATAAATGCTGTGCACACACACACACGCATCGCCCCCTACGCTCCTTTCAGTTGCCTTTCCCTTGCGGCATAATGCACAACGAACTGGAATTCAGAAGCATTGCTGCTGCGCCAAGCCTCGTACTCCCAACTTTTTTTTTCTTTTCTACCTCCGGTCGTTGTCGATGTATGCTGCCATGGTAAATAGGCATGAAAAACGATATGGTAAAGGAAAGCCGGTGGCATCACGAGGCAGACATCTGACTGTACCTAAAATTCGAAAAGAGAAGGGAAGTTGGGAGGGGATAGGAAGGCCAAAGGGGAAAACGAATAGAGAAGCCATTGGTGCTTGGATAAAATAGTTTCCTTGTTCACTATATATATAATTGCACTGTCTGTGGTATGTATCATTATCCTTCAACGATGAACTCCGATTTCCAACAATGCCTATTCGTCTTCCTACGTTTATGTATAGATATATTTGTTTGTTCGGAACGTTTTTTTAAGTAAAGAAATGAAAAATAAATCAAAATCGAACATATACATGTAAAATATAAGCTAAAGTAAAAGAAATTAGACTAATTCTTAATGATCGAACGATCGCCAGTACAGTCAGGGTGGAAATCATCATGAGACGTGGTGAACATGCTTGAATACGATGGCCTTCAGTTCACGTCATAATGAGATTGGAGTTGCAAAGTGTCGTCACATCTCGGCGGACTGACAAAGTAATGGGACAAGCACTGACCCGTAAAATGTCATAGGGGAGAAAGTAGTGGGGCGGTGAGGGTCTCCACACGTGACGCCAAAAACCAGCGAATCAGCACAGGAGAACGGTCTTGATAGGGAATCGTCTCAAAAAAAAAAGAAAAGATTTCTCCTCATTTTGCTGTCGTCTGCCTGCTTCACTCCGCCATTTTTCTAAGTTCACATAGGCACACTCGACACCCTTTTGTTTTGCCCAGCCCTACGACATCATCTCCAACATACCCTGTACGAAGGAACCATTACGTACTCTATACAGCCTACAGATCTTTAAGCGACAAACCTTTTCTTTTTGTTTTTTCCATTTCTTGTTCGAGACGTCAAAGAAAACAAAACGCCCACCGCCTTTGATCGAGGCAAGCCACGCAACAAGCAGTGACGACTTGACCGACAAACCCTGTCGTCACAACCGCCCGCAATCTCCCCCCTCGATTCCACATGCAGTCTCACCTGGTTCTGGTGCTCGAAACAAGAGGAAGCTGAAGGGGTGTGACAATCGCGGCGAACGCACGGCATCCAGAGCACGCGACACACACCCAAATGACATCGACGCCGATACTGGCCGCCCGACCTTCGGTGACCCGGCTTGTGTCGCCGAAGGTCGGTGCGGTCCCATTTCCGGTCAAGTCCATCCTGCGCGAATCGTCTGCTCGGTCGCTGGAGTACAGCCAAAATACGTTGAAGCGGAAAATGGACGACCGCTACGACAACGATGCCCAGCACAGCGCCGACAAGAAGCGTCGTCTGGCGGCCGACAACAGCGACGAAGAGAGCGATGTTGAGGAAGACGATAACGGCCAAAGTCAAAGCAGCGAGATGCAGATGAAGAAGATCACAGACGGCGAGGTCAAGGCCGAATTAATACGAAATGGAGAGGAGAGTGATGCCACTGGCGACGAAAATGATGCAGGGACTGGCACGCCCGCAATGGTGAAGCGGCAGAAGACGGTGCACTTCGACATGAACCTGAACATAACCACGGAGGTCGGCCGTCGCACACTCGAAGAAACCAAGCTGCTGGTAAGGCGGGCACTCGACAGCCACGCTCTTGCTGGCCGTCCCGGTCATGACGACCAGGACTTTATTGAGCTCGTCGATGTGTTCTCCCACGACACTGAGGCGTACCGCGATCCACGGCAAAGCCACCGACACGGCAGTGCCGACGACGACGACGGCGAGGGCAATATGGTGCCGCCCGACGAGCTTGTGCTGTACGTGGTGGCTCTCACCGCGTCTGCACCGTTACTGAACAAGTCGTGCATCAATCTGGTGCGGAAGATGCTTGCGTGCTCCTGGATTGGCCGCGACGACAAGTTCTTCCGAGCCTATGTTCAATGTATGTTTTGTTTGCTTTGCTGGTCTTGCATCCTTACCGTGCTACCGTCTGCATCGACGGATCTAACAATGTTCTAGTCTTGGCTGCCCTCGTCAGTGCCCAAGGTGCCTACCTCCGACCGGTTCTCGAAATGATTGTCGACCGCTTCAAGGAACCCAGCGCCTCCTCTTGGACCGTTCCCGACTTTCCTCCCGTCTCCCGCGAGACCACTCAGAAGAGACTGCACTTTGGCCTCAAATACATGCTGCGGCTGTTCCCGGCTGCTCGGATGCTCGTGTCCAAGCTCGTGGCCCAGAAGTTTCCCTTCCCCGCCGAGTCCAAGAGCATTCACATGTACTACGTCGACAACTTGTTGCGGTTGCGCGAATATGCTCCGACCATCGGGCTCGAGATTCTTGAGACCATCACATCGCAGCTCGTCAAGATCGACACAGAGTTCCAACTGGACCTATCTGACATGGACGATGACCTGGCTGCCAAGGTCGTTCTCGAGCTTGCCCGGAAAAACGCCGAGAGAGATGCCGTCACGGCCCGCCGCCTGGACGACGAGCGAGATGATAGCGACGACTCCGACTCCGACGTTGACGAGGACGACGACCTCCGCGCGGATCGCGACGAGTTCGACTCCGACTCGGAAGCCGACGAGACCGATATCCCCCAGTTTGGCGACCCGGACTACAACGAAGAGCTGGCACGCGTCGACAAGTCCACACGGCTGGTGGAGAAACTTGACTCGACACTCGACCGCCTGTTTGCGCTCTTCACCCCTGTCTTTGAGGATCCCGACTCGGCGGCGGCCCACAGATGTATGGAGGACATGCTGTCCGACTTTGCCAACTTTGTGCTTACGGTGCCCAGTTCGCGCCACACCCAGTTCCTGGTCTTCCACTTCAGTCAAAAGAGCCTGGCGCTGCAGGACATGTTCACCGGCACGCTGCTGAACCTGGGCTTCGAGTCTAACCGCCCCGCGGCCGTCCGACAATCCGCCGCTGCTTACCTCAGCAGCTACGTGGCCCGGGCCGCACGGGTCCCGCGCGACACTGTGCGCAGCGTGGCGAGCATTCTCTGCCATCGCATCGAGTCCTATCGCCGGCGTCACGTGGCCACCTGCCGCGGGCCTGATCTCCGCCGCTTCCAGGAGCTGTACTCATGGGTGCAGGCACTGCTGTACATTTTCTGCTTCCGCTGGCGCGACCTGGTGGACGCCTACCCGGATGATCTGGTAGATCCAGAGGACCCGGCATCATTTGTCGGCAAGGAGCTCGAATGGATGTCTGGCCTCAAGCATGCGCTGAGCAACATCATCTACTCGACCTTCAACCCACTGATGGTGTGCTCGCCGCCCATTGTGGCGGAGTTCGCCAAGCTGGCCCACTCTCTGCATCTGATGTACGTTTTCCCTAGGATCGAAAGCAACAAGAGCATCCACCTGTCATCGTTTGCCTCGGGCCGCTACGGCCATGGCGATGCCCTGCGCGAAGACGCGGGCTACACGGTGGAGGACGAGAAATGGCTGCAGCTCGAGGGCAACTTCCCCTTTGACCCCTACAACCTGCCCATCAGCAAGCGGTGGCTTGAGGGCGACTACGTCTCGTGGACACCGATTTCCGGGTTGGGCGCTGACGGCGACAGCGACGACAGCGACAGCGACTCGGAAAGCTACGACGAAGACGGCGACGACCGGTTCTGAGCAGGGCCAGCGTGGGCCTTGGGGCCGTTGAAATTCCTTGTCCTTTTTGTCTTGTCATCATCTATCTAGCAT